AAATATATTTAAAAAAACAAAAACAAAAAACATCCATGTGAGAGACACATTCTTTGGTTGCCTCCCGCATGTACATCCAACCCTAGACTCTTCCATCCACTGAGCCAAACCAGCCAAGGCTAAAAGATAAAGGTTTTAAATGCCTGGATAGGGTAGTAATAAGAGTGCCTATGAATGAGATCACCCAGGGAGCAGATGATTTACAACTGAGCACTGGTCTAAAATTGAAGTTTACCAACATTTGAGGTGGGAAGAAAAACAGAATGAAGTAGTGTCTTGGAAACTATATTACCTTATGTTTGCATAAATCATGTAGAATAAAAAAAAAAGTTCTGATTTACAAGGTTTATTTATGTGGAAAATAAGTTAAATTTTAACTTCCTTTGTTAAAGAAGCCTTAAGGATTTTCTCCACTAGATGGTGGTATTGTTTTATGTTTCACAGAAACACTGCCCTAGAAAAGCGAAGGACTATTAAATAACTGAATTGAGTACCCTATATATGTGATCTCATCCAGTCCCTACAACAGTATAAATCATATCATGTGACAATCTTTGTTCAAAATCCCCCAGTGGATTCCAACCTTTAGAGTAAAAAGAAAAGTCCTTACTAAGGCCCTTAAGACCTTATACAATCTCTGTTATAACCCCTCCTCCACATTCTCTAAATTCATAGGCTACACTTGTGCTCAAGGCTCTTCTGTTTTTAAAACAGCCTGATTAAGTAAAATAAACTGCACCTATTGAAAGGATATATTTTAATGATTTGACAAATGCAGATCATTCTCGTTGAGGCAGGCTAGTGAGAAGCCAGGAAAACTCCTTGGTAAGTGGAATGGGAAACTGAGATAGACAGCTTATTCAAACTGGCCTCAGGCAGCTCCCTGACTCACCTGCCTTCTTCACCCTTGCAGGGCCACTCCCTTAAGCACCAAGCCCTTAGCACAATGAGGTTCTGATCAGCACCAAATAATTTTAGGAACAAAGCCTTTGATCTGTGGAGCCCAGACACAGAGTTTTGGCCTCACCGTGTATTTCCTGGTATTTGTGATTTCCTACGTTGTTTTTGAAAGGCAGTAGAGTGTATCATCCAAAAATGCGCCTCTTTCAGATATTAAATATTTTAAGCTGAGGACTTGCTTAATGAACCGCTAGCGACCCTAAGGCCATTGGAAAACACATTACGATTCATTAATAGTAGCAAAATTGCAGTGATGAAGTAGCAACAAAAATAATTTTATGGTTGGGGTCACCACAACATGAGGAACTGTATTAAAGGTCGAGGCATTAGGAAGGTTGAGAACCACTGGAACTAGAGATGATATCTAGGCCTTGTGTTTCAGTTCCAGGCCCAGAAAAACAGCAAAACCCGATGAAGCATGCTGTGGTTCACCTCAGGACCAGATGCATTTACCAATAACTAGCGCCAACCAATCAGTAGAAACCACAACCCGGACTATAGACACTCATTTTGGTGAACCAGCGTATTAAAGGGCACACCTATAAATAAAGCTGATGAATGTTCTATTGAGATCCTACCCTGAGGCTCCCCTAAAATTCCAGCCTTTAGAAAACAAATAAAAACCCTAAGACAAAGGACACAGCACATGGTCTCCCTGAAGCATGCCCCTGCCTTCTTTCTCCTAAGCTCTGAAGTTCCCAGGAGACTTAAAACCAGGGGAGCAGTGGGCAGCTCCAACGTGTTCCTGGCTAAGCCCCCTGAACCTGGCTCCAAGGTCTCTTCTTTGGCCTCTGGAACTTGATTTCTGAGACCACATAGGCCAGCTATCTCAATTCTGCTTCAATTCTGTCTCTGAGACTTTCTTTCTAAAAGACCAAGACAGGTTTCTGAGCAGTCCATTTGAATCTTCTCTTCGAGTGTACTTCTGTTTTGTATGTTAAATAAACTTCTTATGTTAGAGTTATTGGCTCTGAATTCTTTCCTTGCCACACTTAAGAACTGAGAGCCAACATCAGCAGTTACTCATCACCCAGAAAATTTTCTTAGGCCCCTTGAAAAAAGAAGGAAAATTTATTAAATATGAACTACTATGTACTTGGGTTTGCTTTACTTTTTTTCTATTTTTTTTTTATCATTGATTTGAGCCCTTTCTTCTTCTTTTTTTTTTTTTTTTTAATATATTTTATTGATTTTGTACAGAGAAGAAGGGAGAGAGATAGAGTTAGAAACATCGATGAGAGAGAGTCATCGATCAGCTGCCTCTTGCACACCCCCTACTGGGGATATGCCCGCAACCAAGGTACATGCCCTTAACCGGAATCGAACCCGGGACCCTTCAGTCCCCAAGCCGACGCTCTATCCATTGAGCCAAACCGGTCTCGGCCCTTTCTTCTTTTCTAATATAAACAGTTGAAACTATAAATTTTTCACTGAAATCGGTTTGGCTCAGTGGATAGAGCGTTGGTCTGTGGACTGAGGGGTCCCGGGTTCGATTCCGGTCAAGGGCATGTGCACTGGTTGTGGGCACATCCCTGGTGGGGGGTGTGTAGGAGGCAGCTGGTTGATGGCAGCTGGTTGATGTTTCTCTCTCATCGATGTTTCTAGCTCTCTATCCCTCACCCTTCCTCTCTGTGAAAAATCAATAAAAAATATATTTAATTTTAAAAAAAAGGAAACTAAATTTTCCTCTAATCTGTTTTAGCGGTATCACAAAATTTGAAACATTATCTTTAATTATCACACATTTGAAATATTTCCTAATTCTGTTTGTAATTACTTCTTTCCCCTGAATTGTTTAGGAGTGAGTTGTATTTCTAGATATTTGTGATTTCGTAGGCTGTTTTTGAGGGGCATTTTTGTAACGTTAGAGTGTATCATCCAAAAGACAGCCAAGAGACTGAGATTTATGCATGCTACCTTGATGTATAGCCAGTTAGCCAAGAGACAGCCAAAAGTAGAGTGTATCATCCAAAAATATGCCTCTTTAGGATATTAAATATTTTGAGCTGATTATTTTTAAGAAACAAAATACTCAGAAAGAACCTTTGACCTTCTTCCTGAAAAGAATTTAGGTAGAGGATGAGGACTTGCTTAATGAAGGAAGATATCATCATAGATAACTATAGCTTAAGCTGAACTACTGTGTAATGAACAGGGAAGAACCCAGCAAAGCCTTTTATCAAAGTCTTCTCTGTGACCCATTGTTTCAAGATGACCCAACAAGCATTTGTTTACTAAACTTTAACTCCTTTTTTCATTTCCTTTTCAATTGACTTCCTTTTGAAGTCCTAGACCCCAATCTTCCCCTCTTTAGTTCAGAATGACAGATATACTCATTATGCCTCACTTTCTGGTGAAGTTTAATGCTTATGTGAAGTCCTTGTGATTTTCTCCTGTTGATATGCATTATTTGACCAGCCAGTAGAACAAAGAGAAAATGGAGCAAGTTCCCCTATCATTGCTTTATTTTTTTTTTAAATGTATTAATTATTAGAGATAGGAAGAGCAGGGGAAAGAGGGGAAAACATTGATTTGTTATGCAATTATTGCTATAAATTATACAAAGAAGAGCAGTTGATTTTTAGCAGCCCTCTCATTTTCCTTTTTAAAAAAAATATATTTTGTTGATTTTTCACAGAGAGGAAGGGAGAGATAGAGAGCTAGAAATGTCGATGAGAGAGAAACATCGACCAGCTGCCTCTTGCACACCCCCTACCAGGGATGTGCCCGCAACCAATGTACATGCCCTTGACCCGGGACCTTTCAGTCCGCAGACCGATGCTCTACCGCTGAGCCAAACCGGTTTCAGCTCATTTTCATTTTTAACCTGTAGACTTCTACTACATATAGGCAACTGAGAGATTATGTTTTTCAAGATATTGTTAATTTTTTTTTAAAAAGTTTCACATTTATTTGTTGTAAGGGTGCAGAGATTTGTATTTATGGAAGTACTGTGACAGACTGCATAAACCTTCAATATACAGATAGTCTTTTACTACAACAATGACTACTGCTATTAGCATTACATGAGTTTTCCTGTAGACCAGACTCTGACCCTGCATGAGACATGAAAAGAGGACACTTGGCATAAGTTCAAGTTCCTTCCTTATTCCCTGAAAGGTGGACAATACCATATCCCTATTTTAAGAGGCAATCTGTTAAGCATAGGACTTTGAAGCCAGAATGTCCTGGGTTTGATTCTTCTTGCACTTAGCTGCTAGCCTTGGACAAGTTTCTCCATTTCCCTGAGCCTGCTTCCTGATGTAAAATGAGGACAATATCCATTTTATGATTTTTTTTTTGCATTAAGTAAGGTAACAATTACCTGAAGCATCTTTAATGCAGCCCCTTTCAACAAAGGGTACCCACAATTGTTTTTTATTTTTAAAAGAGGAAACTGAGAATTATTTGTAGGCGTGGTGCTGGGTCCCAGATCTGTCTGATTCTTAGGCCAGCCTTCTTCATTGATTACAACATAAGATAAGTAAGTGAATTGTCTTTGATAAAGAGGATTAGGGTGGAAAAATACTTAATTTCTCCTTGCTCTGCAGGGACCTGTAGATTCTTCATTATTCACTAGTCAGCTATACTGTTTTTTTGTTTGTTTGTTTGTTTCCTTTTTAGCAATTTGGGGCATGGAAAGTATAATCAAAATACCTTCACACTTGTTTAGTATCCTCCCAGCCTGTCCTCAGGGTCCCACAGCATAAGCTCACCTGCTTCCACCTTCACCAGCACACAAAACTGCACCAGTGGTGCCTCGCCCACATGTTTATATTTTCCTCCCTCGGCCACGCCCCAACCACGCCCCTCGACCACGCGGGGCTCCGGCCACGCCCCCCGTGCCGGAGTTCCAGGAACAGACTTGCCTAGCACCTCAGTCTACCCGCAGGGATCCCTGTCCCAGCCAATCGCGCGCGAGCCACGGGCTTGCCCCTAACAAATATGGCGGGCGCGGCCTCGGTGAGGGCAAATTGATTTAACAACCCAGCCCGGCGGCCAGCGGCGAAGCCAGTGGTGGTAGCGACGCGGCCCCGAGCATGGAGGGCGGCAGCGGCGGCAGCGATAGCAGCAGCCCCGGCGGGAGTGGCGGGGCGCAGCAGAGGGAGCTGGAGCGCATGGCCGAGGTCCTGGTCACCGGGGAGCAGCTGCGGTAAGGCGCGGGGCAGCGCCGGCGGGCTCGCGGGGGCAGTGCTAACCTGTGCCCGCAACCTGTGCACGGGCGCGCCGTGGCTCGTGGCTCCTGGCTTGTGACTCGCGCGGGGCTGCGGGCGCGTGGACCGTCCCGCGTGGCGCCCTGCGGCGCCGGGTTCTAGAGGCGGACGCGCGGGAGCGAGCGGGCGGTGCGCCCTGCGCCCTGAGACGCGCGGCTGCCCGCTGCGCGCTCCCTCTGCCCGGGCACCTGGACGCTGCCAGGCCTCCCAGTTGACAGCTGGTTCCTAATCCGCCTCGAGAGCCACACGGATCAGAGTGCCCCCTCTCCCCACTCCAGCAGCCCCATTCCCATCTCTTTACTCCTAGGAAAAAGGAAGCAGTCCAATTATCGTCTTCATTTAAGAGTTTCCCTTTTTTTTTTTTTTTTTTTTTTTTTTTTTGTTGGCACGTCTTGCTTCACTTCTCTGAGCCTCGGCGTTTTGTCTGTAAAATGGAGCTGATCGGGGCGACTCTCTGGAGAGGTGGCTGTGAGGATTAAACGGAGCACATTTTGGAGACACGGTGCCTGTCTCTTAGGTAGGCAGGTCCTGATCAGCCGTCATTTAGGTCCGCAAGGGGGCGTGGAGGCACCTGGTCCCGCTGCCCGGCTGATGTGCCACCTCCCCCAGCGCGCACAGTTTGGGCTGCTGAGTCCATTGGCTTGGCTGCTCCAAGAATTAGTATTGGAAGGTATCGCCCAGGACAGGCAGCTTCCCCCCAGAACTAACCCCACCTTACCATTCCCATCTCATCCTGGATCTTCTTCTTGGATTCATGTTTGAGAATTGTACTTGCGGTCTGACCGGTTCTGCAGCTGCCCTTTTTGGGCTCATAAATCAGTTTGCTAGGGGGCAAAAAACCAAAACCCTGGTTCTGTAGCATGTGAGCCACAAGTTGCCTGCTGGTCTCTAGCTCCGTGGGAGCACACTGGTTCCTTCTAGTTCTTCATTAGAATCTCCAGGCTCATTATGGTTTCTGAGTGCTGTGTTTCAGATCTGAAGGAGAGAAAAGCTTGCAGAGATTCCTAAGGTTGGGAAATCACCCTGCTTGCAGCACTGAGATTGAGGAAGTAAATAGTGGAAGTCAGAATTAATTGAGTTTAATGTTACAAAAATTGCTCATTTCTATTCCTTGATGATTTTTAATGGATAGCCAAATTTAAGTTGAACAAAACCTTGTTTCTCTTCATCAAGAATATTTCTCATTGAAAAATTAAAACACAGTAAAGATTTTATAATTCAATTTGAAACTACATCGTCTTTTTCAAAGTCCTCAATTGGATACATATAATTTTCTTGAAAATAATAAATTGCAAAGAATAAATAAAATAAAATAAATTGCATAGTGCTTGCCTTTGTCCAGTACTTACTTTTACCTTCAAAATGCAGCTTAAATGCTCCTTAGAACTCTTTACTCCCATCTTCCCTAGCACCACTCCATATTTACAGCAGGTAGGAGGGCCATGCTTAGCAAGTTGGTAAGAAGATAGAGGGTTCTTTCTCATTCAAGAGTTAGACTGGGTTTGAATTTCTGCTCTGCTACTACTTAGCCAAGAGACAGCATTTTGTTTTGATAATGACTTTTAGCCACTGTGAGTCCTGGGTTTGCCACTTACTAGAGTGGATCCTGGACCAGTTTCTTAACTGAGAATGAGGGGTAATAATGGAGTCTACCTCATAGTGCTGTTTTGGGGATTAGATAAATTAGTGTTTAGAACAGTGCCTGGTATATACACAGGAAGCACCTGATCTGCATTAGCTATTATAGCGCTGCAACCTTGGATGAGTTAATTTACTTCTTTGAAACTCTTATTTACTCCTCTGAAATGTTAATGAAGATAAGTGCTTCTTGGACTTGTGAGAATTTGCCCCTGGGCTCCATGTATTAATGAACATTCAACAAATGGTTGCTGGAATTAATTAATATTATTAGTCTCTGTGTGTCACCACGTGTGACTTCCAGCCCAACAAGGTCTGGCAGGAAAGACTGGGTGGTGGTGAAGACGGCAGGTATAGAAACAGGCTGCCTGGGCTCTTATTCTCCCTCCGCCTTTTACTAGTGACTTCGGGACAATTTACTTCACTTCTCCATGCCTCAGCTTCCATTTCTTTTGCAGGAATTTTGTGGGGATTAAATGAGATGCTACATGTAAAAGGCGTAGTAAATGTTAGCTATTTATAGTCATTGCTTTTTTAAATTCTCACCTGAGGATATGTTTTCATGAATTTTTTTTTTTTTAGAGCAAATGGAAGGGGTAGTGAGAGAGAGAGAGAAAGAGAGAGAGAGAGAGAGAGAGAGAGAGAGAGGGAGAGAGAGAGAGAGACATCAATGTGAGAGAGAAACATCCATGGGTTGTCTCCTATATGCACCAGACTGGGGATGGAACCTCAATCTAGATATGTGCCCTGACCTCGAATGGACCTGCAACTTTGTGGTGTTTGGGATGACAATGACATTCCAATTTACTGAGCCACCTGACCAGGCCTATAGTCATTGCTTTTTAAAATCTCATCTTAGCACTGTGCCTGGTACATAATAATTACTCAATAAATATTTGAATGACTAGTGTGTATAATTAAATATGCTAATGTAAGTACAGATAATATAATGTCCAGCCCAGCTGGCATGGATCAGTGGTTGAGCGTCGACCTATGAACCAGGAGGGCACTGTTCAATTCCTGGTCAGGGCACACTCCTGGGTTTCAGGCTCAATCCCCAGTGTGGGGCATGCAGGCAGCAGTCGATCAATGATTCTCTGTCATCATTGAAGTTTTTATCTCTTCCTCTCTGAAATCAATATATATCTCTAGAATTCAGGGATTTAAGTGGCCTTTTGCCCTGGCTTCTTGCCCCTCATAAAGGAGTGGGCTTGCAGCCATCCTTGCTGTCACTGTCACACTTGGTTCTACGCCCCTAGCTGCTCTCACAGTCTGATTGTGGGGACCTAGTGATGTGCAGGTTTCCTACGTCTAATTGCTTCACACATACACAAATTCTTCTTTGCCCTTTTGCTTGTTCATGAATTTCTGGGTCACCAAAGGTGAGGTAAGTAGAGATGATAAGGAAAGAAGAAACTAAGGATTGGGATTTGAAATACAAAAATTGGTTTCTGCCCTGGCCAATGTGGCTTGGTTGGAGCATTATTCTCTACAAGAGAAAGTGGTGGATTTGATTCCTAGACAGAGCACATGCCCAATTTGTGCGTTCAATCCCTGGTTGGGCACATTTGGGATCAATGTTTTTCATATCAATGTTTCTCTATCTCTGAAGTCAATAAAAAAGTTGATTTCCAGCCCTAACCGGTTTGGCTCAGTGCATAGAGCATTGTTCCTACGGACTCAAGGGTCCCAGGTTTGATTCTGGTCAAGAGCATGTACCTTGGTTGCGGGCATATCCCCAGTAGGGGGTGTGCAAGAGAGACTGATCGATGACTCTCGTCGATGTTTCTAACTCTCTATCTCTCTCCCTTCCTCTCTGTACAAAATCAATAAAATATATTAAAAAAATAAAATAAAAAAATACATTTGGATACTGCTTCACATTCTACGGATGGCTATAATAAAAAACAAAACACACATATATTCAAGATAAATGAAAACATAATATGTCAAAATTTGTAACAAATTTTCATAGCAGCATTGTACATAATAGCCAATCATAGAAATAACTCAAATGTCCATCAATTGATGAATGGCTAAACAATGTGTGGTATATCCATGCAATGGAATATTATCCTATTCTAGAGGCCCAGTGCACGAAATTTGTGCAATAGGTGGTCGTGGGGGGTGTCCCTCAGCCCATTCTGCACCCTCTCCAATCTGGGACCCCTTGAGGGATGTTAAACTGCCCATTTAGACCCAATAGGATCAAGTCTAAATGGGCAGTCAGATATCCCTCTCACAATCCAGGACTGCTGGCTCCCAGATGTTTGCCTGCCTGCCTTCCTGATTGCCCCTAACCACTTTTGCCTGTCAGCCTGATCACCACCTAACCACTCCTATGCCAGCCTAATTGATGTCTAACTGCTCCCCTGCCAGCCTGTTTGCCCCCAACTTCCCTCCTCTGCTGGCCTGGTAACCCCTAACTGCCATCCCCTGCAGGGTTGATCACCCACAACTGCCTTCCCTTGCAGACCTGGTGCCTCCCAACTGCCCTCCCCTGCTGGCCATCTTGTGGCCATCTTGTTTCCACATGGGGGCAGGATCTTTGACCACATGGGGGCAGCCATCTTGTTTGTTGGAGTGATGGTCAATCTGCATATTACTCTTTTATTAGCTAGGATAGAGGCCTGGTGCATGGGTGGGGGCCAGCTGGTTTGCCCTGAAGAGTGTCCCGGATCAGGGTGGGGGTACCCTTGGGGCATGGGGCAGCCTGGGCGAGGGGCTCTGGTGGTTTTCAGGCCAGCCACGCTCCCCCCAGCAACCCAAGCGGAAGCCCTGGTATCTGGAATTTATTTACCTTCTACAATTGAAACTTTGTAGCCTGGAGTGGAGCTAAGCCCCCTGCTCACTCTGTGGCTGCCGCCATTTCTGTTTGGTTTTATCCATCTCCTATAATTAAAACTTTGTAGCCTTGAGTAGAGGCCTAGGCCAGCCAGGGCCGGTAGAAAGCTTTGCTTCCTCCGTTTCCAGGGGCAACCCTAGCCTGCTCTTTCCAGCTCCAAGGCTGCTGCCATTTTTCTTCGGATTTATCTTCTATAATTAAAACTTTGTATCCTTGAGTGGAGGCCTAGGCCAGCTAGGACAGGCAGAAAGCTTGGCTTTTGTTGTCGGGGAACCCCAAGCCTCTCAATTGTTTTCTGTGGCTGCAGCCATCTTGGTTGGGATTAATTTGCATACTTGCTCTGATTGGCTGGTGGGAGTGGCTTGAGTGGAGTGATGGTTAATTTGCATATTACTCTTTCATTGGATAGGATAATAAAAGGCTAATATCCAAATTGTTCCCTCCACTAGGAGTTGG